AAAAAAAAAAAAGATTACAGACACGAGCCACCACCCTCAGCTAATTTTTCCATTTTTAGTAGAGACGGGGTTTCACCATGTTGGCCAGGATGGTCTCGATCTCTTGACCTCATGATCCACCTGCCTCGGCCTCCCAAAGTGCTGGGATTACAGGTGTGAGCCACTGCACCCGGCCATTACATACATATTACATACACACTACGCACACAGACACACATTACACATCCAACACAGAGAGAGAACATACAACACATACAACACACATCTCACACACAGACAATGCGCATTATACATGCACTACACACAGACACATCACACACACACCACACACACATAGACAAAACACATCACACACACACCATACATGCAGGCAATGCACACACCACAGAGGCAACACGCAACACACACCACACACGACACATACACCATACACACCACACACCTCGCACCACACGGCTCTGCCCGGCTTGGCACAGGTGTAGCCCACAGGTGGTGCCTCCCACGGCAAGCGCAGCCGGCTGGCGCAGTGAAGCCCGTTGGCACTCCAGCCTGTGGCATATGCCAGGCTTCTGTTGCATCTTCGCTGGCGGGCTGGGTGGGCGGCAGGGTGGGGGGCTTCCTCCTGGAAGCTGGTGGCAGCTCTGCTCTAATGAGCGACACTGTTTACTTTGCACCACCTCGCCCTAGAAAAGCAAACCTGGGCAGGCCCGAGCAGGCCTGGGGGACAGAGCCATTGGGCCGTGAAGGGGAGGCACCTGCCACACCCCTGCCTCATGGGGCCCGGTGTGGGACACCACAGAGCGCTCCGCAGTCACCGTAGCCAGGCATAGGCCTGGATGTGGGCATGGCACCTAGCGAGGCGCCCAGCCTCCATGTCCCCAGCCCCGGCCCTGGGTGCCAAGCAGTGGGCCCCGGCAGCAGACGGACCAGGCTGGCCCTGCACCCTGGTTGGAGGTTCCAGCACCCTTGGCCATGTCCCGAGGCCACCAGGCACCCAGGACAGGGTCACATTTCCAGCATCCCAAGAGAAGCCCTTCCAGAAGCACCAGCTCTCCAGGGGCTGACCCAGGTGTGGGAAAATGGCCCGCAGGGGACGAGGACACCTGGGCACCTTGGGACCCACACACCTGAAACCTCATGCCCCCCTGTGATATTCAACACACAGCACACACACCACACACAAACAACACACATAGATACACAGCACACACAGATACATACACATGCAGTACACACACACCACACACAAACACATACACAGACACACAAACACAACACACACATCACACACACACACAAAATACAAAACACACACAGGCACACACACACAGACCACACATCACATACATACCACATGCATGCATCACACAATGCACATACCCAGACAACACACACCACACATTCACACACACACACACACACACACACACACACACACACACCTGCCTGGGTCTGCAGGGCAGGCAAGGCCAGCCCGGGCTGCTCGGGTGGCAGTCCGGGCACACCTGGCCCTCCAGCCTTGGCCACCCCATGACACTGCAGAAGGCTGCAGACACCGGCCACTCCCCTGGGACAGGGCCGGGCACAGGGGACTGGGCCACACAAAGGTGGCAGATGCAAGGGTGGGAACAAGGTGGCACAACAGCCCGTGATTTGGGAAGACCCTGGGGAGGGCGCTGTGGCGGAAGCCAGATGGAAACAGTGAAGGGTGAGATGAGGCGGGGAGAAATCATGGATGGGGACTCTGCCCTTGCAGGAGTGACAGGTAGGACCCGGGGTCACAGCTGCCGGCTCCCCTCCAACCTCCGGGCCTCAACCCCTGCAGTGCCCTCAGCCAGCTGCCAGGTGTGGTGATGCAGCCCCTAATTAAAGGCCCTGGCCCACGGCGTGCAGGGGTGGCTCAGCTGCTGGGAGACACTGTCCGCCTCGCCGAGGAGAGGTCACAGCCACAGCAGCAAAGCGTGAGGGCAGCAGCCCCCCAGCAGGCCACCCGACACCCCCTGGAGCTGCTGTGGATAGCAACGTCTCCCAAGCTGGCGCCGCCAGGGCACCCAGTCCTGTGCCCAGCACGTTCCCCAGGCAACCATGCAGCTGTGGAGCCTGAGAGCCGGTAGCTGCTGGTATGGACATGCCATTGGGAGAGGAGCCACAGACCCCCGCCCCAGGGTGCAGAACGGGCAGCTGGGCTCCTTTTGTGGGGTACAGCGTTGAGCCTCCCTCGGCCAGCCACCTCCACCTCTAACACACGCTACCCAGCAGGACTGAATGTGCTGCCCGACAGGGCCAAATGCAGGACTGGGCATCAGCCTTCCAGCAGGCCGCCCAGCACCCCCTGCCAAATGCAGGACTGGGCATCAGCCTTCCAGCAGGCCGCCCAGCACCCCCTGCCAAATGCAGGACTGGGCATCAGCCTTCCAGCAGGCCGCCCAGCACCCCCTGCCAAATGCAGGACTGGGCAGATGGGGAAACAGATCGTGCATTACGGGCTGACTTCATGCCAAGGCCCCACATGGGGACCTGAGCCCAGAGGCTGGGCAGCCCATTGGTCAGGAGGGGGAAATTCCTCTTCCAGGGGTGGTCTGCCTTTGCCTCTGAGGAGGCCCCAAGCCCTCAGAGGGAGCCCCTAGGTGGGAAGACCCCCTTCCCTGCCCAGGGGAGCCGGACAGAGGATTGTGGGCTGGTCTCTCCAGGCTAAGTCCCTGGAAAAGGAAAGTCTAAGGCTTTCCTCCCCACCTGCCTGTGCCCGTTCAGCCCCACCCAGCAACCCCGATGGCTCTCCTGCCCCAGGGCCCTCCACTGGCGCTTGGGAAGGCCTGGGTGGGGCTCAGGTAGAAAGCCCTCTACTCACCTGCTGGAAGGCTGAGGCTCCGGGTCCTTCATGGGAGGCAGCCACGACTCAAAGGCCACTGCCCGCAGAACGTAAGAACCCTGGGAGCGGCGCCCCCAGGGAGGGGAGGGCCGTTGTTGCCAGAGAAACCCCAGGCGTCTGTGTGGGCTCCTCCCTGGCGGCTCCAGGGCCCCATGCAGCCCCAGCACTTGCCAGGGGCCTCACGTGTGCGCTGCCCCGCTGTGGGCAGGATGGGGTGGGGCACATACCTGGGCACTCCACCCTACTACGCCCTGAGGGGCCCTGGGGGGCAGAGCAGGGGAAGGGTCTCCAGGCACCACTGAGGACCCCGCCCTGGCTGGCAGGGGCCAGGTACGCCCCTGGGGCACCCCATCCACACCCCCGCTGTGCTCCCCAAGAACAGCAGGGGATGGTGGGGCTGCCAGAGCCCCCATCAAGCCCTCCCAGCCTGCTGCACCCCTCCTGTCTATATCCTCCCCAGGGACCCCCCACCAGCGAGCAGGGCCCTGCGCTGCAGGCTTCCAGCCCGGAGCTGCTTCTGAACCTCGAGGTTGAGGGGGGGCCCGTGGGGCAGTTCGGGCTTGATGAGGGACTTATGGAGGCGCAGCTGAGTTGGACACCAAACCCAACCTAAAGGCCACTCGGCTCTGGGGTAGAACCTGTCTACTACCAAAAACACTTAAAAATGAGCCAGGCTGGGTTGTCAGTCAGGAAGGAGGAGCCACAGGAGGGCTGTGGGGGCTGCCGCCCTCTCCTGCTGAGCCCCACTGCTCCTACTCAGGGTGTTGGGTCTCTGGGTCCTCAGATCCTGAATTCCCCATAGGCCGTTAGACTTCAGTTTTTCAGCTAAGGGTGGGGCAGGATGTGCTGCCCCCACTCCCCGCCTCACTCCCAAAGCAGGTGCATTGCGGACCCGGGGTCCCCTTGTAGATGGGCAGCCTGTCTGATCCCTGAAAATCCAAGGTTCTCCCAGGGGACCTGCAAGGCCATGGGGGTGCCAGCAGGTGGCACCCTCTCCTCATCCCAGCGGGGCCACCTGCAGGGCTGCGCTGCAAACGGAGAGGGTGGGGTCCCTACCACCCATCACCCGCCCCCAAGAAAATGTGTCCCTCCAACACAGAAAAGCACCCTAGGAAAACAAAGCTGTCACCAAGAAACTCCTTTAGGTGTTCAGACTGGAGTTGGGGCCAGAGGCCGGGAGGTGCCCTGCCCCTCTGCAGGCAGCTGGGGGGTCAGCAGTCCCTTGGCCTCCAGAGATTGCTGGGCGCTGCCCCAGGTAAGGCCCTGCTGGAGGTAGCCCCTATCCCTGGGCAGGGGCTGGGGAGGGGCCGCCCCTGCGGGAGCTTCTTGGACCTTCCGCCTCTGCATCACGGCCAGGAGGTGTCCAGCGATCCCGGATGAGACCCCTGTGGGTTTTTTCCCACCGAGAATGGGCTCGGGTTTGTGCCATTCTGGGTGGGCTGCTGGGGACAGGCTGACTTTGTCCGTCAATGTCAGAGAAGCAGAAGGACATCCACCTGGCCAGCGTGAGCACAGAGCTGGACCTGCAGGAGGAGGCAAATCCTACTGAGCGTGTCTGGACCATGCCCTCCCCGCATCCCTCCACGCTGGGTTATGGCCCCCAAGGGGACAAGATGAGACAGCAGAGCTGCCATGGGGCCACACCAGCTCCTCCCTGCACTCACCTGCTCTCTGACGAGAGGGAGCGGCCACTGGGGCCTGCCCGGGGTGTTGGGTTCATGAGGGTTCACAGCATTTCCAATGAGAGCCTGCGTGGTCACAGAGCTCAAACCTCACCCAGCCCTCAGCAGGCCCTACTCCCACCCAGGCACTGGGGACAGCATTCCAGGTGCAGGCCGAGGGTCCCATGCACTCCAGCAGTCGTGCCAGCCCCAAAGCGGCCTCCTTCCATGTCTACAGGGGGAGGCCCGGCAGCCAGCTCAGGAGAGGGCTCTGGCAGGAGCTGTGTGTGGCCCCATGTTGCTCAGAAGGGAGCCCCTGGCTGGGCGTGGTGGCTCACACCTGTATTCCTAGTACTTTTGGAGGTTCGGGGGAGGATCGTTTGATGCCATGAGTTTGAAACCATCCCGGGCAATATGGCAAGACCCTACGTCTACAAAAAAATTTAAAAATTAGCCAGGTGTGGTGGTACATGCCCGTGGTCCCAGATACTCGGGAGACCAAGGTGGGAAGATCGTTTGAGTCTGGGAGGTCAAGGCTACAGAGAACCAAGATCGCACAACTACACTCCAGCCTGGGCAACAGAGCGAGACCCCACCTCAATAAAAAGGAGAGCCCTCCCTGCTCCCTGCTCTCCTGCTGCTGAAGAGGCTGCAGTGAGTCCTTCCCCGCAGTGTGTGTGCGCGGGCTGTGTGATGTGCTTCCCCCTGCCCTGGGGGCAGGGCAGAAAGTAGATAAAGTTGTATTACAAGTGTTTTTGCAAAACAGCCAAATAATGCTACGGGTCTTTGTATGAAAAACAGTTTCCTTCCCCCTTCCCAGAAGCAAGCACTCTATTTCTAGCAGACTCCTTCGGTGTTTACTCCGTGCTGGTAAAAAGCAAACTCCTATTGATCTGTCGGGTTTAGGTGGTCCCCGAGCCCCCACCTCGTGGCTTGTCTGGCCACCTGTGTCCCTCCCTATCCTCACAGCATCATGCTTTGATAGACTCCATAGTGAGAATGCACATGAAAACACTATTTACAGCTGGCCTTGTAGGGTCTTATGAATACTTTTCCTCTTGTTTTCCCCTTGGCTTGTGTAATTCTGGGGGCTTATGAATAACCTCAGATTTTCTTCCAATTGCCTAAATTTCTCGTGTACACACAAATGTGTGAGGCAGGTACTATCACTTTAGTCTACTGGAAGAAATTCCTCCAGAATCTTCTCCCCTGCTCCAAACTGGCTGACGCCAGAGGCAGGGTGGCATCCCAGGATCTCCCCAGCAGGGTTGTTCTGGGGTTCACTGTGCATCTCCTCCGAGGGATACCCCCTGTTTCCTGCATGCCCTCTTCTCTTTGTAGTTAGACCCCTTTGATGGTGGTAGCATGTCCTTCAAGTGGCCCCATGAGGAAGGACGCATACCTGAAGGTGTTTTTATTCCACCCCCCAGGTGAGCACTGGGTGGTTAGTTTGGCTAGGTATAGAAGTCCAAATTGGGAGACATTTTCCCGGAAAAGTGTAAAGGTCTTTCCACATTGTCTTTAGCTCCTGGAGTTCTCTTGAAAAGTCCACAGCATGCCAGGCTGGGAATACTGTGAACCATGTATCCAGAAAGATCCACCAAAGGCTTGTCTTCCACAGTAGACCACTGATGACTGGTCAAGGCCATATGGGTGGCGCTGGTCAGAAGGACACCAGCACTTCCAACGAGGTCAATGGGGACTTCCCTGCAGGCCAGGGGCCGTTACAGACAGCAACAGAGATGAGGAGATCCTAAAATAACAGAGGCCGGAGGGTGACGCTTAACTGCCAAACGTCAGGAAGTTGCAAATATCCTAATTAATTAATGGCAGGGTCAGAGGGGCATCAACCCAGAGAGTTATGAAGAGGACTAGAACACGGTGCCCCTGGGGTGGGATAGATGGGCAGTTGTCAACTTGTACTGGCAGAATAAATTAAGGACGGGGGACTGAAGGCAGCAGCCCCAATCGAAAGTCACAGTCTTTGCTGGGGTTTGGACCTGAACCAGTCTTCTGACCTGGAACCGCTGACTGAAGAGGTGGCCGGGAGGGACATGCAATACTCTGGCCAGCCCTTCTCCACAAGGGACCTGCACTGGGATGGGGGGACTGCTGGATATTGAGGACAGTGGGGTGGGGGTAACACAGATACCCAGAGACCCAGATTGTCATCGTGGTCCTGTGTCACGGCAGCCATTGGTGGAGCTCTGCCCAACTGCAGTTTTCAGCGGTCCTTGCCCAGGACTCTAAATGAGGAGCTGCGGTTGACATGTGGTGGGAGGGCATTGGGGGCCCCACACTGGACCCTTGGTCTGCAGGATAAGAGCTCTCATTATGATTCCCATGGGGAAGGTGAAGGGGAGCCCACAAAACTAGACCCCTTCCTGGCCCAGAGAACAAAGTAAAACAGCCCCACCCCAGGGGAGGGAGATGCAAGGATGAGGCTCTAGGAGGAGCAAGCCTGTGGTTGCCATCACCGCTCCGTGTAGCTCACCGGTCCAGGCCGGCGCCTGGGGTGCAGCACGGTCTCCATGGTGATCAGAAATGGACTGCACTCCAGACCTGGCATGGACAACCACACTGGCTCACCATCCTGCCCCAGGGCCATGCGTACCTGCCCTGCCCCAGACCACTGGGGCCTTCCTCAGATGCCACATCAATACAGCCCCTCAGTGACTTGATGCTGCAGGGCTGGGTGAGAAAAGGGCTCCAAGAGACACACGCACCCAACAGTGCAGTGGCCTCTGGTGGCAGCAGCGTGCCCAGCACTCACCCACCATGCCAAGGTGGCTGGAAACCTGGAGAGATTCTGAGGCCTGCCTCATCTTAGAGGGCGGTGGATGGGACGTTGCTCAGAGGTTGGGGAGATGCTGGTGGTCAGGGCGTTGCTGGTGTTTGGGGTGTTGCTGGTGGCCGGGGTGTTGTTCAGTGGTCAGGGTGCTACTCAGTTGTCGGGGTGTTGCTGGTGGCTGGGGTGTTGTTCGGAAGTCAGGGTGTTGCTGGTGGTCAGGGTGTTGCTCGGAGGTCAGGGTGTTGCTGGTGGTTGGGTGTTGCTGGTGGTCAGGGTGTTGCTTAGTCAGGGTGTTGCTGGTGGTCAGGGTGTTGCTCGGAGGTCAGGGTGTTGCTGGTGGCTGGGGTGTCACTCAGTGGTCAGGGTGTTGCTGGTGGCTGGGGTGTCGCTCAGAGGCCAGGGTGTTGCTGGTGGTTGGGGTGTCGCTCAGAGGCCAGGGTGTTGCCCTGTGGACCGCTGGAGGGGGGTAGCTGGCCAGGCCTGGGTTATGGATGGGTGGGCTCAGGAAACACTGAAATGGGTACCACCACACGCCGATGCCTCAGGGGAGCCCCTGGAAGCCGCAGCACAGTCACCCT